GACATTTGGGACGTGGGAGGAACTCACGACTTACATGGGGGTCGTACAGATGGGGGGGGGGGGAGAGCGAAGCTTTTGATTTCGCCGTGGTTCCATTTCCGTGTGGTCTTAAGCGTTTTCACTATAAGTTCCAAACATAAAAAGTTCCAAACATAAGAAAAATGGATTTTAACTAGTTGAGAAACAATGTTATCAGGTAAGAATTTGACGATACGTTTAGTCCCGTTAGTTTTTACTTTTAATGTAAAAAAATGGCAACAAACATTTTACAAATTTTACCATAGAAAATTCGGGACGTAGTCAATTTAAATCCTTCCCGCGCCTATGTCATTGCGGCGCATAGGGCGGTGCCTATCTCCGTTTCCTTAACCCGAGGCCACGCAGCTGCTTTCACAGTGACGACAGCGATTTCCTACACGACCAACTTTATTGTTTGTCTGTTTGTTTGCTTGCTTGCTTGTCTGCTTGTTTTTCTTGATAACCCTTCTTAATCTTATCTAGATCTAAATTAGCTCGACCAGTACTAGCTCCACTAAACGGCCATGCATTGCAAGACCACATACATGCGCTCGGTCAGTGTACGTTCTTCCCTATATGCATCTTGTAAAATAACAAATCAATGAACGCACAGTAATGGCCACGTATAGACAACACGACGCTAAAAATTACGCGGACACCAGGAATCTAGTAAAGCATGTCTTTTGTTCAAGCTAATACCACGCATGTGTATTTGTTTATATTTTCTATTGTATTTTACAGCGCTGAAGCAACCTAAGCATTGCTACAAGTCGAAAGTACTTACTAATTCAATTTATAGTTATACGTTTATAGCATATGGCCCGTCTATCACGGTAAACAAGGGACGCAACATGTATCGCACCTGCTGAGTTCTGTTGGCACGACCAGTCTATCTATACGATGCAAAACCTGATTTTTTTAAGTTAGGAGGATAAAATTCGGACCGTTTTTTCTTCGCGTACGTCCTGTGAAAATGGTTGTAACTATAAAATTGCACAAATACTGCGACATAGAACAAGTAGGAACTACACCCATGACCTGTAAAGGTAACCAAGACCTTCTTTGCCATCCTGAACACATCTTCCATGATCCTAGGGCCTTGTCCCATCAGTGAACCGGCCTCCCTGACCCCTGGCGTGACGACAAACACCACAGGGCAATACGATCACGCCATAACATCAGGAGCGTATAATGACAAATTTATCATTTGTCATTATACGCTCCTGATAACATGTAGAATCAGCGCTTATACCGAAACTATTATCGATATTGTGCTCCACATTTACTCCATGTTATCCCAGCAAGGGAATCGTTTCACCAACATCACCTTTATGACACTACCTTGTTATGATAGCGAATCCAGAGTTTGTCCACAAACACAGCACAAAACAACTACAATAACAGTTGAACACGCAGCGACCATAAGCGTTAACCTGAAGTTGGCATGAGCCAACACAGTTACTTATAAATCTACGCTATGGCACGTATAGAATAAGCTGGATGGCTCTCTATGCTTGGCTCTATCTCTCTCAAGGCACGTTATGTTGGCAAATTATCCACACTGGACTACAGTTCAAAGGACACAATGGCTGGACTAAGACTCTATGCTTAGCTGTATCTAAACGTATAATATGTTGACCGAGTCTCTCACTGGGTCCACGGGAGGGGGCGAGGGCCTGAATTTTCACAGCTCGCTCTTTTATGCTTAGCAATGGCATGTTTTAGTGTTTATGTTTTTCCCCACGCCATTTTATGAATGTAGAGCAGATACTTTGGATCTAAAACTAATAACTGCATATTAGATTATGCGCATATATACACTTTACATTTACTTACGATGATCTGGAATGTCTATCATCCCATTCATAAGCACCAGACACTCCTGGCATCTTGCTTCGTCACCAAACGATGTATAATCCTTCTAATCCTTTACCTAGAAAAGATGACAACAAAACAAAAATTAATTTTAACAACATTAACAATCTAACTGTGTATGACCGAACCACGGCAGGAGATCAACTGTAACCGGGAAAGATGGGAGACGAGGAGGTGATTGGGAGCAAAGGAATGCGATGAAGTAAACAGAAGAGGAGACGGATGAGGAAAGGTGAAAGGCGTAACAAGAAAGTAAAAGGATGAGATTGTGGCGGAAGAGAGCCAGAGAGAGAGATGCGAGAAAAAGAGAGAGAGCGAGAGAGAGAGATGCGAGAGAGAGAGAGAGAGA